TTCTTTTTAATAACGTGCATTATAATTTATAATGACGTCTTATTAACAGAATTCTTAAATTAAATTCTTAAATCAATGAACGCAACGTTTAAATCATAACCTTGACTTCCCCGAACTAATATTTAATATTTAAAAGTTTCAACGAGTTGTTGATTCAAATGTATACGTGTTGGAATTTATATAAGTAGTCATTGATTATGCATGATACGAGACATTCGTTGAATTAATGCTGAATCGTAACAATCGTACATAGATAATTAGAGGCTCATAATGAACGTGTAGAAATTCGCAAATGTAATATATTCCGAATTTAAATAAATTATCTTACCATTGTACTGTTCAAAATACATATTATTGTTCTCAAATCATCTCGATATATTCAAAAGATATTTATTAAATCAAGTTTCAGATTTTCTTATCTGTGATTCAAATGCTCCTCCTTTCAATGATCTTCGAATATTAATATCTCGATCTTGAATTTGTTTGAAATGAAACGAGAAACCATCTTTCGAGTTTTCCTCAAACTTAAAGAATCTTTTAACGATAGAAAAATACTAGATCTGGAATGAAAATATCCTAAAAAGCATACGATTAAATAATATTGACAATTGATAAGATTTTGATAAAATTAATGGGAAAGATTTTCAAATAACAATTAACCAAACTCGTAAATTCCAAAATACGATCACTAAAACTCCACATGTATCGACTTAATCTTCGTCTTATCCCTCCGGATAACGAAGATAACCCGCTCAGCTTCCGGTGTCCGAGTCCACTTGACCTAAAAGCGTACTCTTCCGAAATCGAGCCTTCAAATTGGTTTCTGTTCGTACCAAGTCTTGCATCTTTTTGGGACTTAAAAAGGCGAATTCCTCTCTCCGTGCGAAATAAGTTCCCTGTCTGGTTTCTTGTCTCTTGCATTAGAGACACGTCTTGATTAAAGACGAGAAGAGAGAAAACGGGGAAAAAGAAGGGATTATTATTTTTCTTACGAAAGCTTAGATGGCTGGCAATTTTACAGATTCTTGAAAAAAAAACTGTGCATTTAATGAACATAACATTATCGTCTGTACCGACGATTTATATCTTTTCATACCGATATTAAATCCACCGAAATTTTTTTTTTTTGTTCTGTTTAATTTTTTTTCTATTTATTTCTCGATTGATTTAAACTTGAAATTTGATTCAGTTTTTAAACACGATACGAGATTTATATTATTTTTTTTTCTCTCGTAGAATACTGAATCAAGAAAAGTTAATTTTCTTCTTCGTTTCCAATGAAAAGTAAAAATGTTTGTATAAAATGAAATTTATTCTTCGAAATTCATTTTTTCTCCCATACCTTTTAAAAGATGTTTTTGATTATATCTGGATCACCAATTTTGATCAACTTTGGTATTTAAAAAAAATATATATCGATATTTGATTAATATTAGCATTTAAACCTGTCTTAGATTAATCTTGACATTCTTTGTTCAATGTTATTAGTTTTTTTCTAAAAAAGATTTGACAGTCTGTTTCTTATTATAATTCATTTCTGAACATAAATCACAATATCAGATTGATTTAGAAACTGAAAGAAAAATAATAAATAAATAATATAAATATTATTAATTAATATAATTGAATATGTATTTATACTTCATTCAATATTTATAGAGTTTTTATAAAACTTCAAAAAAAAAATCAATCGTTTTGTTCGCAATTGAATTTCTTTAACTCAGATTTCATTTAATTCATATTCATAATAAATTAAATAAAAAAAATTTTTTTAAAAATTGAAAATGCAAATCAAAAAGGGAATAAATTAAAAATATTTATACTTTTCCTCTTTTATGAATATCACTTAAAAGTAAGGATTATTTCATGGATCAAAACTAAGAGTTTCAACTGACGCAGAAAAGTAGAGAGTAATAAAATCTTGGTAGGATCTCGTTAAGAAAGGATACATGGCTTATCATCTTAACATCGAAAGACTATTCAGTTCATGAATAATAATTGAAGGTTAGATTAAATGTTGTCGAAGTTCAAATCTAACAAATGAATATAATTCTACATTGTTCGATAAAAAAATGAAAAAAAAAGAAGAATTATCACTTCAGAAATATTATTTATTTATTAAAAACTTACTATTTGGGAATGATATCGGACTATAATCAAACAGAACAACCATGTCTTCTCTAAGATGATTGGTAAACAGAGCGTCATCCTCTAAAACTGGTTATGCGGCTATGTACTGTACCATCCAGGTTATGTCACCGAAACATTGCCCGACTATGCGACATACGATGCAAACACACAGAGCTGCTCTATCTCTCCTTGAAACAACATCATGCTGTCGAAAGGGTATCGCCAATGAGCTTATATAACGTATTATATGTTGGTCTGCTCGGAAATAGTGTATAGTTCTGTATTTTTCTCGAATGTCAATAACACACCGCGGGATATACTACCATGAATATAAATTTTGCTGACTTTAGCTACACTAGCGTCATCTTTCTGGAACTTCATTAAAATTATTTTCATACACCATCTTGCGTCAACTTTCTCAAGTAGAAGTAAACTGATTGTAATATAATCCTTACCGATTAAAGGATCGTTAAATTTTGATTGGAAAATTGTATATCTTTGAACTATTATAATTTCGTGACAAAGAAACACAAGAAATACAATAATTTACTTAACCTCATCTTAAATTCGATATTTTTTAATTTGACATTCTAAATTGAATTTCAATTATATTGTTAGCATCAAATTACCGATTATAAATATATTAATATATTATTATTTTTTTATAGAATTTTTTATTTTATAATTTTTGTCTACCTCGATAAAGTCTTGAATCTAATCCCTTTAATGAATTACTTACTACTCGATGTGTCGTAAGAAATCGTAAAACGTCATTTACGTGAAATCATAAAGGTGCGATTTATGTAAATTAAATTAATGGCATATGAATGCTAATACAGACACATTACGAGATTAATAATTCATTAGATGTATGACGTGCAATCAAAGCGTCACAAGATCTCTGGTGGCTTGTCTGAATCAAGTCAATTCTTCTGATCACGATCTTTTAAAAAAGTCGAGATTCGAGATTAGCCGCCTCTTGTACAATCCTTAGGGAGCGGCCTAATTGCTTCTCGGTATACTTGACGTCGACCGTCCCTTTTCAACGCCTCTTCGAACCTTGAGCTTTCGTCCCTGTGGGCAATTCTTTTAAAAATAGCGACGATCGTCTTTCTTCCCCTTTTCCTGAGAAAAATTCTCTTTTACCTTATCGCATCAATTTCTCCCTTAATTAATGCTCCTTGGAACTTGGACGTGTTTGGCGCGATCCATCTTTAACCGAAGACATTGACAGTTCATCGAAATCTTTTTTAAAACATTTTTGTTAACAATATGATTTTCGGAATGGATAATTAATTTGTATAATTAATTACATTATTTACAAATATTATTATCAATCTTTTTTTTCTATTCTGATATTCGTTTGTTACATGTTACTTCGTCGAGTTAATAAACTTTTGTCATCTTAAACGAATCTTCTTATATTTTTCTCGTTCTTTTTCGCGTAATTAAGATGGATGAAATTGATTCTAACTATTTATTATACAACCGAAAAAAATAATCAGTCTTGAGATAACGCAACTGGCAAATGTAAATCAGGAGATTCCTCGATCGGATTAAAGCACGAGCGACGAAACGGAGGATAGTGGTGGAATCCCTAGAGCAGGAATTCTCAATAATGCACCATAGCATTCGTGATCTATCCGATCCCCTTCCTAGCAGCGTTCTTTCTACGTTAAATATAGGCGACCCGACACGTACTCTCCGATTCAGTTCAACATCCAACATATTTCGCGTATTCTCTTCTTGTATTCGTGGCCAGAATATGAGAAATAATAGAAATAATAGAAAGACAGATATTATTCTCATCCTTCATTTTCTTAAATTAATATTCCTTCATTTCTTTTTATATTTCTAATAAAATCAAGTTAACAGTAGAGTGTAAAATTTTTAGAATGAAATTTTTCACAATTTAAATTAAAGGTAATCGTGACTTTCTCTTAAATCCACAAGTTATACATGTGGAATCTCGTGAATTCAGATATTTCTACGGTTAATCGTAAATTTCGTCACAAATTGTGTGGAAGAATTTGTTAACCTGATTAGTTGCCTGCACGAACATTCTCCAAGTATTTAATTAAATTTACACGTTGATAATTTTGATCGGTTACGTCTAACATCGAAACCCGATAACTGCATTACTTCTCGTGATACAATTGTATCGATTTACGACAAAAATGACGGAATTTAAAAACTATACGTCATTCCTTTTATATTTAAATAATGCGGAATTTTTTAATTTTTATTTTAGTAAGTGATAAAATGCAACGATTTTTTGAAAACGCGATTACATGTTTAGAATTGCATTGTACATTGCGTACATAATGCATTTGTCATTAAATTTTGACAGACTATAGAATATAATTTAAAAAAACTTTTATAATCTCGATCTCTCAATTGAATATTTCACAATAAATCTTCTTTTGTGAATTTTTTTTTTTTCGTTCGTTACTTAAATTGCATTAACATTGAAAAACATTTAATAAAATTGCTTAATATATTAATATTTGATATAATATTGAATGTTAAATTTAATTCGATTTTAGTTTTTAATTCGGAAAATAAAAGAATCTTTCTAAATGTGAAGATATCGTATGTTTTGAAATTAAATTAAAATTAAATTACGTATAGCATATAATTTATGAAATAGAAAAATCTATAATTTTTTATTATTTATCGATACAATAAATATTAAAATATTTACCGTGGTTTGGTTAAAAATATAACATCCTGCTTACGAATAGCATAAAGAAAAGAGAAATAAATTCATGACCTCTTTCACCCTTGTACACTTGTTTGAAAACGAACACCTGTCATCCAAACACATGTTTATTTACTTTAAAATGCGCTTTCAAGTTCCTTTCATGTTCTTTTTGATGGAGAATTCAGCATGAGCCATGTACTGCAAACCTTCACTTATCCCATTAAAATCAACCCTTTCTTCACATTTCTATCGTATATACGACGAAATATTATCTTGTTCAAATAGACTTTACATTTGTAAAAAAAATACAATTTTTATTTTTTAATAGTTTTTTCAAGATTACCATATTTTCGAATAAATATTCTTGCTTACACGAATTAAAAATTGATAAGGAAAACATGGACTATATAAGAAACAAGGTAATCACGTTATCTAATCCAAACCACTTGTATATACCAGGAAGAAACATTTTTAAATATAAACGACATCAATTTTATCGCGTTAAACTTTAAAAACTCAATCTAATTTTTTGCTTGAGAGAAAAATTTAACATTGCTATTTTCTACAATTAATTACAAATTACATCAAAAATACTATCTGCGTATCTATATAAGTAAATCAATCGAATTGAAAATTTACAAAACGTTATCCAACGTTTAATAAGTAATTTAACAAGACCACCCAAATAGGTTGGTCTTCTCGAATAATTTAACTGCGAGTAAGGAACTGGTTAACCTCGACCCTCGGTCTTCTCTCCTCGAGAGGGGTTGCAAGCGACTAGATTGGTGCAGACGACCGAGACTGATCGATGAAGAAAAGTATGCTATTTCAGGATGCTTGAGTAGTCGGTGACGTGGGTAAATCTGGTGCTCCATACGTAGTGACACCTTCTCGAGAGACTATCGATTCTCCTCCGTTTTTCATCCATCGCCCCTCCTCCCTTCTTCCTCCTCCTATAAGTATTTACTTCCTTCTTCATCTTCTATTCCTCTCCATTTCCTTTCTTTTCTTTTCTTCCCTCCTCTTTTTTTTCTCGAAAAGCGTCAGAACACAGTCAGAAATTCTTATGTAAATCGCGGCAATGCTGTTGGAGGAAATGCCACGAATGCTACTGGAAACGTACGATCCGCAATACGTGTCGGTAGTGTGTCGTCCCAGGGATAAATCGATAAACGGCATGCGATATTAGAAGCTCTTTCCGCTGGATAAAGCACCGTCATGCCAGTGAAACGGTGGATTTCGATGCGATAAGACCTAACTAAAAGTCCGTATTACTGCGCGCCTTTCTCATACCCTCTATTAAATCGATTTGTTTACCTTGCGTTCTTACCTCACAGCCGCGTGGAAACGTCTTTCCACATATATCCCTTGCATCACGCCCTTCTACGTTGATACACGATAAATTTTATTTGGAAATACGGCAGACACTCGCTTCGTTTTATGGAGACGCATATTCCTAGGTATTTTTTTTTTTTACTAGGAAACGCGGTTTATAGTTGATTTGTTTTCTTGCGAAATGCATTCGTTTGAAAGTGTTGCGTTCCTTGCTTGGTTATTTTATTTCGGATGTTTGAAAGTGCAGTTTGATTTTATTCTCTTTCTTTATGTTGTATTTGTCGCATATTGTGCAACTAAAAATTGTGGTTTGCTTTCGCTTCTTACATGCGTGATATTTTTGGTTATTCGTATTGTGTTTTTGCTTGATTATGCTATAATAAATATTTAAAAATGAAGTTACAAATCCTTTACGTCTAATCTTTTCAGATTAGATATTTTAGGTTCGATAGTTGGGTGATTCATTTTTTCGTTGAATGAATCAGCTTCAGTTTCTTGCAAGATAACCTCAATTCTTCATATTGCGTCTTCGTTTATAATTATCTGATAAATATTTGGAAACACGACTTGCATTTTCTCTCATAATTAGTACTTCTTGCATCTACATTGCATTTTAAAAGCGGATTACGTCTGATTCTTCTTGCGTAGCAATTTAGTTTCTTTACATTGCATCCTCTTGCACGAAAAATATACAGAGAAACGTATACTTAGAAATAAAATTTGCATTTGTTCAATTTTTATTCCTACATTCTTATTTCATTATATCATTTTGCAATCTATCATCTTAAAAAATATTTACATTATTTATATTTAATTACATCTTTGTCAACATTACCTTTTACATTTTATCTTTTTATATTTTTTTTATTTTTAAAATTATATTGTTCATGTTATTGGAAAATTTTATCTCACTTTATTTTATTCACGAATATCATTTTCTCATGTTATTTTCGCTATTATATGTTTAATATTTAACAACGAAATTTTCTAACCTCATTTTCTTACCTTTAATTTTTAATCGGCATTTTAGTTTAGAAATATTCACTTATTTAGAAATGTAATACGCATCTTTATATAAATTTCTATTTGTCTCTTTCATTTCGTTTCATTTTTTTTTTTTTTTACTACAAAATAATATTGAATATTCAAAACGTGACACATTCACATCCGCCATTTCCGATATTAGCGTATCGTCACGCTATCGAGAGTCACATTCGAGCGATATATCGAAGAAGCAGCTTGCCTCGCTTCGATTACTCGTTCAATATTAAATCATGGCTGCTTGCCTGTGAGAATACGTTTTATCGAAATATTATTCCAAGCAATCGCAAAGTGACTATTTTTTTTCATTTCTTTTAATTCTTTATGGATTTTTTTTTCTTTTTCTCGTCTTTAAAAATGCAATAGAGATAAGTGGAATCATTGGTCAATTCCAGAATAGCATGAGAAAAAAAAGAAATCGTAAAAATATGATTGATAAAACGCATTCTCGGGTTATAGGTTAAATGAGTTTTAACATTACTTAGTCGCGGTAAATTTTCATTCTCACAAGGAATTTATTGACAAATCGATATCAGTATACTTTTCATAATCGAGATGTTTATTTCGCATTTTTTAATAATGGATGGAAATAAAAATTGAGAAATAAAATGCAAATATTACAACAAATATTTTAACAAAAATAACTGTTTTTCAATGTATATCAAGAAATACGTTTTGAGTATGGAGATAACGTTTTATTTTTATTTTATCTTCAGGAATCAGATATATATAATTGTACGTATCATCGATATAGATTGCGTCATAACGTATTAGCTAAAAAACAATTGAAGGATCGATAACATCGGTAATTAATACTACTGATATATAATACATTTCCTGACATTGTCGCCACATTAATACAAGATAACATTATAGTTATCGTATGATCTTTCATGTGTAATTCTTCTTTTTATATTTTTATTTATTCTCAAGATCATTTTTTAATTTTTTAGAATCTTTCTGCTTGTTGTTAAGGCATTAAGTTGCCAATTTTTTTCCGCATTAAAATCGTTAATGAAGTACAGGTTTAATAGAATTTGTAAACAAGTTATAATAATCCTAATATAGCTAGGAAATAGAAAGTAATGATATTAACTTGATTACATTGATTTTAATCATCTTGATCTCGGCTCTAACTATATACTTTCTTCCACGTTTAGCAAATATAAATAGTTTTATAATGAAAAATATTACCAATAATATTCTATCATTATTCAACATCGTAAAACCTAAACTATTAAAATGATTATTTTCGCTAATATGATTATAAAAATTTATTATTCTTTAACAAATTAATTTATTATAATTACTCGATCCATCGAATATTTTTTAAACATTTTCAAAATCTCATTGTCCATCAAACTATTTCTCGATTCTCGATTGAATATTTCCAGTTTATTCTATTTAATAATTTCTCAACAATTAAATCGATTCTTCTAGAGAAATGAAGTTATCTCACGAATAAATCACGATAGAATGGAATTTATTTAATTAATGATTATCCGCGACTAATTAGCTTGTTGAGCAAAGATTCAGGCAAGGAGAGAAAAGGGGAGAAAAAGAGAGAAAATTTATCCGATATAGGGGCCCTTTTCTGACGGTCGTTAATTATCCCCGGGGAATTATGGTAAGAAACGATGACGGGTGAAAGTGAGGGAATCGTTATTCCTGGAATGGATTTGATGATCGTCGACAATACAACACATACCATCCAGTTTTCAACCACTTTCATGTCGAATCATTTCAATTACCGGTGAGAGAGGAAGCGTTTTCACTTTTCTTATTCGATACGATAATCGTGAGTGTTGGAACAAAGAAAAACGAAATGCATAATTTTTATATTTATTTTATTCTTTCGTATTCTTTTCTTTCTTTTTTTTTTTTTTTAATCTATTTGAAGAATTTACACGCGAACGAAATTTAACGTGGCTATTAATCTCTTTAATTCTCATAAAATATAGTAAATACATTTATTATTTAATTCTTTATTCTCGTCATTGATGGATTCAAAAATTATAATATATTTTATCAATATATGCACATGGTTTAGTTATTATAAAATAATTATAAAAAATTTAATTTATTATAAAAAAAATTCACACTCCGATGCTTTAATAAATATAAAGCGGAAAAAGAATTTGAATTTTGAAGCTACCAATTTATCGATTCGTTTTTGAATTTTGTATTATGATTTTTCCAAGTCGACGACCAAACTAATTTCGTAACCGAGATTTCTTAAATGTTGCATGAAACATCCGGTGTTTAGAAGCCGTGCCGAGTTTAGCAATAAGGTTTGCGTTAACAATGTACGATAGCGAGAATAAACCTACTTTCTATCATGAATTTCACGTCTTTCGATCGATAAGATCTCTATCTTCTTATTGTACGAAGAATCAGAATGTTAGAAAAGTTTCTACATAAAGAGAAAAAGAAGAAGAAGAAGAAGAAAAAGAAAGGATTTAAAATTGATTTAAAATTATTATAAAATTAATACTTTAATAGATTGAACAAACAATTGGACACTATATTAAACAAACACATTCAAATATAACACGATAATATATACATGTTAAATGAACTAGATTAAAATTAATGTCATAACGTTAACATATACATCAATAAATAGTAACGTTACATTAATATGAAATTAATATTGTTTCGAATAATATATGGATTTTATTCGATGAAATATTCGCTACATATCGGGTAATTTAAAAAGTCTTCAAAAAGAAGAGAGTCATATGGAATCTATTGACTTTTTTCTGCATTCGATATATTCCCTTTTTCCAATAACGATAGCGTAGAAATATGATACCCATGGCAAAAATTTTAAATCATCTAACCGTAGTGAGTTTACAAATGGATCAAATTTAGAAAATATTTTTATACATTGTAAAAATTATAAATTGAGTGAGTGAATTTCATTGTATACAAAATTGATAGCTTCATGCGATACGAAATACATTATAATATCTATAAAAATTTGAGAAACAATCTTTCGCTATTCTGAAGATGCAATTCTGTACGGAAGTATTGGACCATCTGGCAAAAGAAAATGTTTTGTTATTTTGTGAATGAATTTGAATTTGATCCAAATTTTATGTGCACCAAGATATTTTAACCCATTCGGTTTATTTTCTTCTAGAATATGTTACACAATTTATCCATCCAATTCACTAATGATTTAAAATTTTTATAAGCTGAATGTTTAAATTTTTACGAGTACTTGTCAAAAATTATCTGATAATAATTACAATTATCTAAAAAGGAATTAAAAATATACGATGAAACAATTAAAAATATTAAATATCATATGAATATCAAAATAAAGAATTAGATTAATAATGTACGATTGTTTGATAGAATATTAGATTCGATTACTTTTTTTTTTTATAGAAAATAGAGCGATACGATCATTTTTTTTGTATTTTCTGAATGATAAAATTAATATAATAATGATTTTGCTTTTATTTAATAGATGAAAACTAAACAAAGACGATATTTCACCAAAATTCTCGTTCAATTATGTAAATATAGTTAAAATTCAATTAAATAGTGATAAGTTTCTAAAAGTTCCTTCTTCTCGCAACAAACGTTCGCACCGATGTTATGCTATCACGGATCTCTACAGTTTACCTCAACCAGATTTACATAATGCGAAGCTTGTTTGTTAAACACCAAGAGCACGAAATCCTTAAGCACTGTTGGTAGCACGTTCGTCAAAGGAACAATCTGTTATCGATACCTGCGTAACTTGTGTCATAATAATTTGATAAACTAATAAAGAAGTTTTCCTAATAATTGAATATTCGTGTTAAATGTTAATATAATGATATTTGCAATAATTGAAAATCTTTTTAGAAAAAGAAGTAAAATTTTAAGAAGAATAAATTAAAATTATACATAAAATAGCTATAATCTATTCTATACGATTTCTATAATTAATCTAATTACTGAAATCATATAAATCAATAATTCAATCGTATAATTCAATAAAATCATTACTCTCTTAAGAAACGTGGTGATTTATTATTATTAATTTCTATTATAAGGAGGGTAAAGCTCCTTAGACATTAAGTACATGGTAAAGCACTTTACTTGGTTAAGAAACGCATCGCGCTAAAACGTTTGCGATCAATTTACTTTCAATGCTATTCTTAGCATCTCGCGCACCACTAATCAGAAGAGTAATAATAACGTAGTGGATGGTCGTCGATCGACGCCACTTTCTATCTTTCGAAGACAACATCACTTTCTCCTTTCTTTTCCAAAAAGTACAATTATTTTTAAGTCTGGTTAAAATTTTCAATGGAAAAGATAAAAATGCGTTATTTGTGAAAACAAAATTAATCTAGAAAATATCGCTTATAAATTTCCAATGTGTATATATTTCAAATCGGTATAGAATACGTTATACGAAATATATAGAATACACAGTATTCCATTTTATATATATCGACGCACGCATAAACTTTGGTGTCATTGATCGAATGCGAAGCAAGACACGAGGAGACAGTTCCGATTGACAAACCGGCCTCCTGCTGTAGATTCGATCCTCGATAGTACGATCGATCCAAACCGCGTATCCCCATAAACGTAGACGTGCCCGTCCATATTTAATGGCTCGAATTTACGAAAAGCCGGTTGCGCCAGAAACACGATGGAAATAGAGGCATTGTTTCGATCGTGAATGCGCATGCGCGGTCCTCTCGTGCACGCCTCCCGAAAATACCGACAGAAATTTACGGACAACATGGGCAAAGAAAGAGAGAGAAATAAAAACAAAAATAAATGAAAAAAGGAGAAGGGAAAAATACGGAAAACAGCAAATGAAAAAAGAAACGAAAGAAAGAGAGAGAGAGAGAGAAAAGGGACGAACGTCTATTAGAAACGAACCTATGGAGTTTGAAGCGAAACACGATCCAGAATCGCTGTGTATACATTTATCGTGAACCATTTAACGAAGTTCGCGAAATGGACGAAAGATATTTTTTTATTCCGTTTTTCTTTTCTTGTTTTTTATTTTCTTTTTTTTCACGTCGAAAGAGGAGAAAAGAATAGGTATAATGATAGATTGTAATTTTTCTTTTATGCTAGTATAACCTATGAAAACGCCAACGCTGAATTCATAGCTGCTTATAACGTCCCCAGAGTCGATGATTCGCTTTTGCTACAGGGGTCACCGACCGGTGGACGATCGATAAGGAAATTTAGCGAACATCTCTGTTACCGTGGTCAGAGCGTAGGTCTTGTCTTTTTGCACTTATATGTATGATAGCATAAGTGAATTATACAGAATATTTTAGATTTTCCGGGGTTGTCTTTAATCTTCGATGAGCAGATTCTATGTACTGAAAGCGAATCAAAATTATAATGAAGATATATATGAATTACTGTTCAAAAAGAGTAACATTTTTTAAATTTTAATAAAACTGTATTTTATTCAATTATTAATTCAACCTTAAATTTGTATATTATTATATCATTGTGCTAAATTTTGTTAAAATATTGTAAAGTTTTATAAGA